GGTGAAGTTGGACTGCTTCTTGGAGTCAAGGATTCTGAAGCTTCGTCTGACATACTTTGGGCATGTTGCAAGGAGGGACTGGTCCTTGGAGAGGGACACCATGTTTGGGAGAGTGGAGGGACAGCGCAGAAGAGGAAGACCCTCGATGAGATGGATCGATTCTGTGAGTGGAGTGGTGGGAATTAGTGTATTTGAGATGGCGAGGTTGGCACAGGCAAGAATGGCATTTAGGGCTCTTTTACATAGGGTGGCTATGAGTCGCAAGTGACTCGATGGCACATAACAACAACAACAACAACAACAACAACAAGTTTTACTCTTCTCATTCTTATGACTTTTTTTCTATCTTCACCAAATTTGCCAACCAGGAAAGTTTACGTGAAAATGTGATTATTAATATTCAGTGATAATTTATAAAGATTCAAATTGGTATAACACATACTTCAAAAGGAAAGCATAACTTTTCAATTATGTTGTTGTTAGGTGCCGTCAAGTCGAGTATGACTCATACAGACCTTTTGAACAAAAGATCTGAGCCCTGTTCTATCCTGGGCCATCCTCACACTTTTTGACAACAGAAAAGCCCGTTGCGGCAGTCACCGTGTCAATCCCCCTGTTTGAGGGTCTTCCTCTCCTTTGCTGATCCTCTGCCCTTCCTAGCATCATTCCTTCTCCAAGGAATAGCCCCTCCCAAACAACATGCCCAAAGTAGGTGAGGTGAAGCAACATCATTCGTGCCTCCAAAGAACACTCTGGCTCCACTCTCCCCAAGACATAGCTGTTTATTCTCTTGGCTAATCATGGGATGTTTGGGGTTCTTTTCCAACACCACAGCTCAAAAATGCCAATTCTTTTTCTGTCATCCTAGTCATTGTGCAGCTCTCTGATGCACAGCAAGTGATTGGAAAGACTATGGCCTGAATCAGATGTGCCTTGGTCTTCAAACTGACATCATTATTTCTCAATAATTTGAGGAGTTCCCTAACTGCATATATTCTAGTGCAATGCATCTCCTTATTTCCTGACTGCTAGTACCAAGAGTGTTAGTTGTGGATCCAAGCAATATGAAGCTGTTGGCAGTTTCAATCTCTTCTCCATCATGATGTTGCTTATTGGTCCATTAGTAAGAATCTTGATCTCCTGTAACAAGTGCTTCAAGTCCTCCTTACTTTCAGCAAGCAAGTTTGTGCACAAGTTGAAAATTTGAGACACACATATAAAATTTGAAACTCATACAAACATTTGTTTCAGCTGGAAGACACACTGACAGTGGTGAATTGGGTGGGAAAAGCAATGGGCTTGATAAGAATGATTGGAAAGAGAGAAATTGGCCTCTCAAAATGGTGAGAACTGAGAACAGCATAGCACAAGTAATGTGAAAAGCTATCTTGGAAAGCTGCAATCTAAGTAAGAAAAACACCAAAATCCATTGAACTTTGGAAAATCCACTCATGCTGTTGACTACTATTGAGAAAGATCAGTGGGAGCAAAATCTTCATGACTTGCCAGAAATTCTGTCTTTTATTATCATTATTACTTCTTGAAATTTATTTTTATATTTTCATTTATACTGGTTTACCTACAAAGTTCGTATACATTGCCCTTCACACTGGATTCCCCCTCCTAACACTTAAAAAAAATATGTATAGAGGGACACACACACACAAGCCTCCTTTGTATAAATATCAACCCCACTAGTCAATAGCTGGACTGCCTCTTATGCACATAGGATATTCTTGTTAATGGGACACATACTCAGAAAATCCCTTCCCATTACCAGACAGGGTGTCCTCTCACCTAGATCCTCCTGAGAAAGGCAGGAAGGCATGGCTGTGTCGGGATGAGCCTGGTGAAAACCGGGTCGGATCAAATACCTGCAGAGAAAGCAACAGAGTCAGACCTACCAGGAGTCAAGCTGCTTCTTGTAATTCATGAGGTGGCAGAACTTGCAATGAGGGAAGGATGAAGAAGAATTGTTTTTGACAAATCATCCCATTACCCTTTCCCAGGGTCTCATACCTCTGGATCTGACCACACCTTCGGGTTGTGGTGAAGAGCGTGAATGTCTAGTGAGATTCTGGTTCCTATGAGAAGGTTTGAGAAAGAAAAGACTAACATTAACATATCTGTAGGGTGTGACCTTGATATTTCAGCCCATAGAATGGAAATTTATGTACTAAAGGATGGAGGACCACAAACCAAGAGAAGCAATAAAGAACTAGAGACTGGAGTAACTTAATTGACAGAAGGAAATACACATTAAACTATTCATTCCTCATACTCACTCTCCATGGAAAATATACTTATTTCCCAGCTTTTAAAATGAGGTACTTGTGGCTTAAAGAGGCCAACAATTTGCTTAGGATCACACAGCTAGAATGTAACAAAGCTGGGACTTAGATCAATGGGAGTTGAACCAATAGACCATATCTGACCATGATTCAACAGAGCTTACCTCTGGTCATCAGCTGCTCTCTCTCTGCCATCATTTAATGGTCCTGAAAGCCTAGATTCTACTTGAGACATAACCTGTGATGCTAGATTCTCTGTCCTCATTTGCCATGTATTTTCATAAAAGGAAGATCACATCTACCTCGCCTCTTCTCTAACACACTCTTGAGTTTTCCAAATCTCAGGCAGTTAGGGTTTTTGAGAAAATGGTCACAGTCTACAATTTATGGAGATAACAGATTGAATCATCACCATATTAACTAATACATGTATGTTGTTAGGAGCCGTTGAGTTGAGCACAACCCATATCAACCATATGGACAAAAGACTTGAACCCTGTCCTATCCTGTGCCATCTTCATGTATATTTTCTAGATTTTCTGGGTGGTACATGGCTAATTGATTAATTTACTAATCAAAAGGTCAGTGTTCACTCAGAGTTGTTTTGGAAGAAAGCCCTGATTATTTACTTCCCCAAAAGCCAGCTATTGAAAACAGTATGGCTCACAGTTCTACTCTGACACACATGGGGCTGCCATGAGTCAGAATCAACTTGCTGGAAACCAGTGGTGGCTATTGTTTTTGGAGTTAGGTGTGTGTGGTAAAGTACTTACCTTCTGGTAAGGACCTTCCATCAGGAAAGGTGACGGGCTTACTGAGCACCCTGCCAATACTTGGAACTGGTGGGTAGATTCTTAGAGACTCCTTGATGCACATAGTGGTGTAAGGCATCTTGTCCAAATGGTCCCTGAGAAGAAGCCAAGCCTGAGATAGGTGCAGGTCCTAGATAGACCAAAGGCTTCTCTTTTCTCAGCCAGGAAATACTCTCCCATCTCTTGAACACTCACCAGGTAATGAGGGCTCCATCCCCCAGGACACTTTGGATCTCCTCTCGGCAGATCTGCTGATGCTTGGGGTATTTGGCCAGGGAGTAAAGGATCCAGGAGATGCCACTGGCTGTGGTATCATGACCTTCAAACATGAATGTGTCTACTTCAGCACGAAGGTCTTCGTCGGACAAGCTGCTCCCATTTTCCATCTGAGGAAAGCCCAAGGACAGTGCAGAGTTAACCTCAAGGCCCTGCCCCTCTGCAAAAAGCCCAAGCCTCTCCCATACTCACTTTGGCACAAAGGAGGATATCCAGGAAGTCCAAGTGCCTCCTCTTTCTGATTTTTTCTAGCTCTCCTTCCTTCTGCAGAGAAATCTTCCTTTGCTTGATCACTTGGTCTGTTCCAAGATAGTAGTTACCAGTGGAAGGTAAGAACTCAGTGTAGCAGTCAGACAGTGACTGAAGCAGCCCCATCAGTCATAATTGACAAGAATCTGGGCATCAGACCTAACTGAGGTGGAGTTTGAAATGATTGTGGGATTGGCTGTGGGTCAAAGATGAAAACTCTCGTATCAATGGATTGCTAGGCAGGACCTCTTCACTAGTAGATTCCATGAGGTCTGTTTGTATATTTTCTGAAATGAAGTTTCATTACCCATGACACATGCAGCTCTCTGGCATGATGCCTGACACATATCTCTGTGCCTATTTAAAGCCCCAGAGTTGTACCCTTTGGGGAAGATTTCTAGGAAAAGAATCCAGGACCTGTGTGCTGATGGGCAATCTGGCAGGCACGGTGGAGCAAGCGACCATCACGGGTCAGGCTGTAGAAGACATCACTCTGGTAGAAGATATTCCTCACTCGTGAGTAAAACAACTCACTCATGTCTTGAACAGCTTGGATATAGGAGTTGTGGTTCCTAAGGGAGAGGATATAGAAAAAAACTAAAGGGGAGAAGAGGTGGCTGACCCAGAAATGGAATGGGAATCTAGGTGTAAACATCTTCAAAAAGTGAAGAGATCCCACTGACACATCCGTGTTCTTTAGCCTTTATATCCCACCTCCTTAATAGGATGACACGAGCATCCAGGTTTCTATTTAGGTGTCTAGATCTAAGGATAGAATTTTTCCCCTGTTGAGACAAGAATCCAGTTGTTACATCTGCCCATTTGATAAGTTCACAGCTATTTGCTACAAAGAAGGACCTTGAATTGGAAGTTTTACTGACTTGTTCTGCTGGACTCTGCTCTCGTAGCTGAAGGCACACTTCATGATGGTGTCCAAAGTCATCAAGGAGACATGTTCAAAGAGTTCCAGACATGGGTCCTGGGTGATCAACTTCTCCCATTTGTCCTGGGAAGGAGGAAGATAATGATTTCACTTAGACTTTCTTAGAAGGTCCTTGTTAATTAGGTTAAACTCTATTTTATGTCTCTCTGGATGATCCTTTGGAAATTATTCACTTTATAAAGCAGAAAGCATTGCACCAAAGTAACACTGTAAAATTAATTTTTTTTAAATATTTTCTTTTCTTTTTTTCTGTGTGTGTGCCATCAAATTGGATCTGACTGGTACAGGAGGAGATTGTCCTGCCTTCTGCGTTAGAGCATCTGGTGGATTTGAACCACACACCTCAGGGATTATGGTGCAGCTTCCTGCCACTAGACCACCATTGCTCCCTAAAATGAATGTTTTTTAAACTGATGCCTACTATCTCAGTGGTTTTCCTTATATAGTTAAAGGCATTCTCTTACAATATCACTAAAGAAAAAGGGGGCATGGAGAGGTACATAGGAAGGAAGAGTTCTGTTACAGTGGGGATATTATGCAATTAATATCATAAAACAAAATTTGTATAGTAAGTTACACAGGAAAATAATTTTCTCTGTAAACTTGTACTTACAAAAAATAAAAAAGAAAGACATTCTCTTTTGTCTAGTCCAAATAAAACTTTCAATTATGGAACCATCAACCTTTCACAGGCTCTAATTGAGTCGAGGGTGATTTATAACACAGCAGAGCCCCTGCCTACATGGACTGCCCCAATCCCCTGTAGCCCTGGCATCCATGATGGTTATTATCTTTGGGTTAATTGGAAAGAATATTTTTCAGAGTTCTTAAAACAGACTCTTTGGTGTCATGAGAGCTGTGGTAGATCTGAGAGACAGTTTGCATTCATTTTTTAGAGATCAAGCAGATCAGTGCCAAATAAAGCCTAAAGACATTGGAAGTATCTTTCCCCGGAAAAGACATCATGAATTAAGTTTATTTTTATTATAATTTTTTCCTTGACCCCAATTTTTGTCCAAACCAGAGTCCTGATGATAGATGGTATCATTACAAGGTCTGAGTTATGAAAAATGAGAACATGGACCCGTTGTTCATTTCTTTTTAGCTTGACTCATATTCCCGCATAAGCCCTGGGACCCGGGCTAGCAATCAGATAAGTGACATTGTGAATGTCCTCTCTGCCACTGAATCTGGTATTTTCAAGGCCCACCAGATATCACTTGTTCTGCTGTCTAAGGGGTATTGACTATTCCTCCATCCATGGTACTGAATACAAATGAAGAGGAATGTTGAAAAGGTCCCTGCATAGATTCTAACCCAGTCTTTCTTTGGGCAATGAGTAATGTATAGATCCAAGTTAGTTGCTGGGGTTTCATCCCATCTACTTTGGAGAAAATGGCTCTTAGAGTTTTGATCTATGTTTTATTTTTTGTTAAGTGCTTAGGAAATTTTCAGTTAGTCAGAGAAGGATTTTATTTATACCAGTATCAGTTATGAAACTTTCAACTTGCTGGAAAGCTAGTATTCCTAGGCATAGGTGTGGGTGTATGCAGAAGTGCATGTTAATGTGTATCTGCCAAGTACATCTTATATGTCAGAATATGTACGTGTATTAGTAGGTTTGACTATATCTATGTCTCAGATTGGTCGTGAGCACATATGTGTTTGAGTTGAGAAGCACATTAGAGTGAGTGATTGTGTTGTTAAGTGTCTGTGTTGGTGAACAAGTTCTGGACTTACAAATGTTTCTAAAAGATTGCCAATATGTTTGTATAATAACAGGGTGTGACCTGTATGTCCACTGTTGAGAGTGTTATTGTGTGTAGTTATCTGATGGGTGTCCCTGAGGTAAAATGACTGACAGTGGACCATGTGAGGAGGTGCTGTGAGGTCACGCAGGACTTGTGATTCAGGGTATATGAGAGAGAGAGACAGAGAGAGAGAGAGAGAGAGAGAGAGAGAGAGAGAGAGAGAGAGAGTTAGAAATCTACTTACCAGCATCAGTCGAACAGAGTCAGCCATGATCCCCACATAGGGCTTTAGGATGTCATAGTGGAAGGCTGGAGTCAGCATACGCCGGTGCTGGAACCATGTCTGCCCATTCAAAAGGAGCAAACCATACCCTGGATCAGAAGTGAGTATGTGTTTATGTCTGGTGAGACAGGATCAGGGGAACTGCCAAAGACAATTTAGGAGGGAATAAGGCTGTCCCTGGGGAAAAATTCATCTAAAGACTCATTATGTACTAAAGACTGGGGAAGCTTCTCACATTTCACAAGTATAAATTCCCAGTTTGGCTGATACATAAGATGTGATTATGATAGCTATGAGAGAGAAATTGAAAATGTTAATTAGGAGCTTGTCTTAAGCAAGGGTTAAACCTAGGTATTTTGAGAGAACAGAGAAGAAACATGGACGGAGCACAATTATTGGAGAGTTCTAATTATGAAGGAGATAGGGACAGGGTTTGAGAAAAGAGAGAAATAGGCCTTCATTTAGGGATAAGGATGGTGACAGTGGTAGCTGGACACTAGTTTCTATCTTTGAGTTGAAGAAGTTGCTTGTGAGAAATCTACCTGATAAGTGTAATACAGTCATTGTTTAGATATACGTACCAATCCAAGGGGCCAGGAATCTGTAGGTTCTAGTAGACTTTGGGTCTGAAAGGTAAGGAAGGACATTGAGAACTGAGTAGTAGAAAACAAACTAGGCATCCTTCAGGCCATTAGCTGCCATGATTTCTTAATGTTTTTTTTAGCTGCGAATATACGAACTTGATCTTTCACTTGCCTCCTATCCTCAGTATCTCTGTCCCAATAGTCTCTGTAGACTTAGCAAAGCATACTCAGTATGCTGTAAGCAGTCACCAATAGGGAAATTGGTTAGAAATGTAGGTAACATTCAAAATGTTAACCAGCTGTAAATGTCCATTGAAATTAATAAAAAATTTAAAAAATGTTAACCAGTAACACAGAAACATTACACTTTTCATAGGATTTATGGTGGCTCTGCATATCCCATAGCAGGAAAAGAAACAAAAAAAATAACAGCTACCATACCAATTTCACTGTAAATAGAAAATTTATCTTTCATATATGGGACAATACACAAAACAAAACCTGGAATAAATTAAGAAAGAAAGAAACTAAAACTCAAAAGCAGGGAAAGAGGAAGATATGAAGGGGGGAAGGAGAAGAGAGAGAGAAAAAAATAGAATGAAAGAAAGAAGGAAGGGAGGAAAGGAGGGAGGACAAGAAGAAAGAAGGGATGAGGGAAGGATGGAAATTCAGCCTCAAATAGATGTTTTAAATTTCCAACACTAAAAATATTATTGCTGGCTGGAGACTGGGTTATAAGTTGGGAGGGTGTTTTGATATTTACTGTTGCCTTGAAGTTCTCTCAGAATTCCATACAAGAGGGAGGAGCTTTTCCAGCTGATCATGGGATTTACTCTCACCTGATCTCCCCAGAATCACCTTAATGTAGTCAGGATCATAGATCATGACAACAGCTTCGCTTCCCCATAGCCAGCGAGGAAAGGCACATGGGAATTTCTCCACCCATTTCAGTAACTGTTGCAACTCCTGATCCTTTGTAAACTGAAACCAAAGGAGAAATATGAATTAAAAATTTTAGATCTAGTTCTTGGAGTAAGGATTAAGGATAAGACAGCCACAGAGATAATAGACCTATATCCACCAGAAGAGATTAAAAAAAAACACGCAAACTCATAGCCAACAGGTTGGGACTGACTCATAGCTCACCCTCTAGCTGTTTTTCAGTGATGTAAATTGCATAGGAAGAGGTTGCCTATCTTTCTTCTGTGGAGTCACTGGTGGATGCGAACTATTGGAGAGGTGCAGCCTTTGGTTTGGCAACACACCCAATCAAAGCACCCTGCTAGCAGAAATTGTTGTTGTTAGGCACCATTGAGCTGAATACAACCCATAGTATCATTATGGACATCAGATCTGAACCCTGTTCTATCCTGCACCATCGACATCATCTCTGACATGCTTGAGCCCATTGCTGCAGTCTCTGTGTCAATCCATCTCATTGTGGGCATCCTCCCTTTAGCTGACCTTTCACCTTTCCAACATGGAATAGCAAAGAATAGCCTCGTCTAGCAACATTTCCAAAGTATGTGAGACAAAGCTTTGCCATCCTTGTCTCTAAGGAGCACTCTGACTGCACCTTCTCCAAGTTATATCTGTTGTGGTTTTTTATTTATTTATTTTTAAATAATCCAAGGGATATTCAGTATTCTCCTCTGACATCCAACATCTCCAATAACTCACAGGAATTGACTTTCTTCTTCATCCTTATTCATTTTCCAGTTCGAAGATGCATAGCGAGTGATTGAATAAGGCATGGCCTGAATCAGGCAGACTTTAATCTTCAAACGGACATCATTGCTCCTTAGCACTTTGGAGAGGTCCCTGAAAGGAGACTTTCCCATTGCAACGTGTCTTCTGATTTCTTGACTGCTGGTACAAAGGATGTTGATTATGGATCGAAGTAAGTGAAGTAATTGACAACTTCACTCTTTCCATTTATCATGATGTTGCCTTTCAGCGCTGGGGTGAGAGTTTTTGTCTTCTTGATAGTGAGATGCAATCCATATTGAAGGCAGTAGTCTTTAATCAGCAAGTATTTCAGGTCTCACTTCACTAAATAAAGTTGTGTCAATGTCAAGAAGACAAAGATTCTCACCACTGGACCTATTGGCAGCGTCAGGATGGATGGCGAAGAGATTGAGATTGTTCACAGCTTCAGTTTGTTCGGCTCCACAGTCAACACTCTTGGCACCAGCAGTCAGGAAATGAAAAAGCGTATCGCGATGGGAAAGTCTGCTGTTAGGGACCTCTCTAAAGTACTCAGGAGCAACGGTGTCTCTCTGGAGACTAAGGTGTGCCTGATAAAGGCCATGGTCTTTGCAATCACTTGTTATGCATCAGAGAATTGGACAATAACTAGGGAGGACAGAGGGAGAGTTGATGCCTTTGAGCTGTGGTGCTGGAGAAGAGTACTGAATGTACCATGGACTGCCAGGAAAACAAACAGATTCATCTTGGAGAGGATTAAACCAAGCTACTCCTTGGAGGCAAGGATTCTGGGGCTTTGTCTGACACACTTTGGACATGTTGCCAGGAGGGACGGGTCCTTGGAGAGGGACATCATGCTTGGGAGGGTGGAGGGACAGCGCAGGAGGGGAAGACCCTCTATGAGATGGATTGATTTGGTGACTGGGGTAATCGGGATGGGTGTGTCAGAGGCAGTGCGGTTGGCGCAGGATAGAGCAGGGTTTAGGCCTTTTGTGCATAGGGTCGCTTTGAGTCACAAACGACTTGACGGCACATAACAATAACAACAACAACAACAACATCTGTATAATGCAGGTTGTTGATGAGGCTTCCTCCTATCATGATGTCTCATTTTTCTTTACAGAGTTCAGCTTCTTAAATGTTTTGTTCAGCATACAGGTTGAGTAGGTATGGAGAAAGGATACAGCTCAACATAGAGCTTTCTTGATTTTAAACCATATGGTGTTTCCTTGCTCTGTTCAGACAACAGCTTCTGGTCTAAGAATAGCTTTTGCATGAACATGGTTAAATGTTCTAGGATTCATATTCTTCTCAGTATTAACCACATTTTGTTATGATAAACACAGTCAAATGCCTTTGCATAGTCATTAAGGCACAGATAGATACTCTTCTCTATGATTCTCTGCTTTCTGTCAAAGCCCATCTGACATCAGCAATGATACCCTTGGTGCTTCAGCCTGTTTTAAACCCAGCTTGGACTCTGGCATGTATGATGTAGTATTCTAGCCATTTTTTAATAATGTTCAGCAAGATTTTGCTTGAGCATGATATTAATGATATTGATCAATAATTTCCACATTCTGTTGGATCACCTTTCTTAGGAATGGAATACGGATCTCTTTCAGTCAGTTGGCAAAATAATTGTCTTCCAACTTTCTTAGCATAGACTAGTGAGCATGTCCAGGGCTACGTTTGGCAATTGAAACATGCCAATTGGTATCTCATTAATTTCTGAGGCCTTATTTCAGAAATAGTGCAGCTTGAACTTCTTTCTTCATTGCCATTCATTTTTCATCTATGCTACTTCCAGAAATATTTCAGTGTCAACCAATTCTGTTTTATGCAGTGATACTGTGTATTCTCTCTTTTGATGCTTTCTGGATCATTCAAGATTTTTCTGGAAGAGATAATGTCCACAGTGGCAGTGATGGTAATTCCCTAGGCATGGAACATATGGCCTTGCAAGTGAGGCTACTCATACCAGGAGCTGCTCCGTTACACTTTTCCTCTCCCCGCTGCTCTGGAAGCTGTGATCACAAAGGAGACTCTGAACAGGTGCATGGAGAATATTAGGACTGGCACTGGCACTGTCCAGGTGTTGTGCGCTTGCCAGTATGACAGGCACACATGGGATTGCAAAGAGGTTCCAGAAAATGGATGGAGCTGCAGGGTTTGTTTGAATCTCAATTATGTAAATTTATGTTTTTATAATCACTTGGCTTTGCTTTTATAAACAGTTAAGTTTGCTAAGCCTACTAAATGCTCACCTCTTTTATTCACAAGTGTTATTTTCATTCACACAAACAATTTTGCTTTTGTTAGGTGCTGCTGAATGAACTTGGACCCACAGTGGCCCTATATACAACAGAGGGAAACCTTTGCCTGCTCCGGCACCATCCTCACAATCTCTGCTCTGCTTAAGTGAATGTTGCAATCACCGTGTGAGCCCATGCCACTGATGTCCTTTTTCAGAGATGGGTCCCTTCTGATAACACGCCGTAAGTATGTGAGATGAAATGTCACCATTCTTCCTTCTAAGGAGTACTATGGCTACACTTTTTCCTAGAGAGATTTGTTTGTTCTTTTAGTGTTTCATGGAATTGAGAATACGGTAAGAATTATTGTAAGTTGAAACATTGATTAAATTAATGTTACATATTGTAATATTATAATAAACCTGTGTAACACAGCATTATATTATATATATATATTGTTGCTGTTATGTGTTGTTGAGTCAACTATGACTCATAGTGACCTATGAACAACCACTCTTGAACTTTATTCTGAGCCAACCTCACCATCTCTGACACACTTGGCCCAGTTACCACAGTCACTGTGCCAATCCATTTTATCCAGGATCTTTTTCTCTTGTGCTTACCCTACACCCTTCTAAGCATGATGCTCTTCTCCAAGGGCTGGCCCCTCCTGACAATACACCCAAAGTATGTGAGATGGAGTTTCAAAATCTTTGCTCTAAGGTGCAACTTGGCTTTACCCTCTCCAGGGATTTGTTTTCTTGGCAGTCTATGGTATACTCAATTGTCTTCTCTAGTAACACAACTTGAATGAATCAGTTCTTCTCCTGTCATTCTTATTCATTGGGCATTTGACTGTGTGAATCACAAGTTGTAGCTAACATTGAGAAAAATGAGAATCCCATAACACTTGATTGTGCTCATATGAAACATATACCTAGACCAAGAAGATAGTGTCTGAACAGAGCAAGGGAACACTGCATGGTTCAAAATCAAGAAAGGAGTGCATCAGGAATGGATCCTTTCTCCATACCTTTTCAGTCTGTATGCTGAACAAATCATTCAAGAGGCTAGACTTTATGAAGAATGAGATATCGGGATTGGATAAAGACTCATCAAAACCTGCATTATGCATATGATACATCCTTACTTGCCAAGACTGAGGAGGACTTGAAACACTTGCTGCAGAAGATCAAGGACTGCATATGGATTGCATCTCAACATAAAAAAAAAACCCAAAAATTCTCACTGCAATGCCAATAGGCAGTGTCATAATAGTTGGAGAAAAGATTGAAGTTGTTAACAATTTCATCATGCCCAGATCCACAATCAATCTCCTTGACACCAGCATGCATGAAATCAAAAGATGCGTTGCTTTGGGAAAATCTGCTGTTAAGGTCCTCTCCAGAATGTTAAAAATCAATGATGTCAGTCTAGAGACTAAGGTGCACCTTATTCAGGCTATGGTCTGCTCAATCAAAGCACTTAATATAATATTTGTTGTTGTTGTTGTGTGCTGTCCAGTCACCTGCAACTCATAGTGACCCTATGTACAACCCTAAAACCTGCTCTATGCTGTGCCAATCTTACTGTCTCTGACACACCTACCCAGATTACCCCAGTCACTGAATCAATCCACCTCATAATGGGTCTTCCTCTCCTGCACTGTCCTTCCACCTTCACAAGCATGACGTCCTTCTCCAAGGGCTGGTCCCTCTTTGCATAATGTACAAAGTATGCCAGACAAAACTTCAGAATCCTTGCCTCCAAGGAGCAGCCTGGTTTAGCCCTCTCCAGGATGAATATATTTGTCATAATTGTCTCAATGGCATCTAACCACACAATATGTTACAGTAATATACTATAATTATCACTGTATTACTCAGTATTCAATATTCTTCACTAATATAAAGATTCAAAGCAATCAATTCTCCTTTGGTATTCCTTATTCATTGTCCAACTTGCCCATGCAATGACTCAAAACTCACTGCTGTTGAGTGAGCTCTAACTGAGAGCAACCCTAAATTTGGCCTCAGAGGCTGTAAATCTTAATAACTCCATGAATGAGTAGATGGACAGATAAGTCCTTTCATTTATCAGTAAATATTTATTGAGTAGTTGTTGTGATGTGCAGTCAAGTTGTCTCTGGACCAGATGATTCTTACGGATGCAGATGCTCAAAGTTTTCAAGTTGAACAGAGGATCTGTCAGCAAAAGGAATGTGCTCGTCATTTGCTATTTAAAAGAGGGATACTGGGGCATGAGGCATGAAGTAGCTGACTTACATACTTTCATGAAAGCATGTATGAAAAAAAACATGTATGAAATGAAAAAAAGCATTTCACGAAATCATGGGATGATTGTAAGGGAGAAAAAACCCCCCCACAATATAAATGTATGAAATATAATGTAAATGAAAGGCTGTATGGAACACAATATACATGCATGAAACACAATATTTACAACCCCTCAATAAAAACAATCAGTATAATTCATAAAAATACTTAAACACCATTTGGGCCTGCACCTTACAATAATTCTCTTTGTAGTGACTACCTTAACTGATAATAATTGCTTTTGAGTATACTATTATTATAGACTTACTGTGATCTGGGTATAAGTTTACAGAACATATTAGTTTCCATCCATTTCATACACTAGTCTTAACATTAATTGCAATCTCTATATATAATAGTGCTCTTTCCACATTCTCCCAGTGTTTGCTGCTGTCAATTGTTTTTCTTTACTACCCCTTTCTGCCTTCTCAGCTTTAACCCTAGACAAGTGTTGCCCTTTGAGCTCACATAATTAGGTCTAGGAAATGAGTACCTCCAAGAGATTATTACAAAATGATGTTGAGTCTTACTGCCTTCTGAATATCTTATAAAAACAAAAAATAGAGACATACACATAGAGGAGGGTGGTGTTGGGGGCCCAGACAGATGTCAGGTGAAGAAATATCTAAAGGCAGTTAAGGACTTCTTGACCTTTTGGCTAAGATGACGCATAGAAGGAGTGATAATGAACACCAGGAGCTACACAAATGGGAAGAGATAAAGATCTCTCTGTAGAGGCCACAGACACACAGACCCCTAGACAGACAGACAGAAACAGCCTCTGAGAGGTTATATGTGTTGACATCCTTAATTCAGACCTCAGGCTTCAAAGCTGTGATACAATAATTTCCAAGCCTTTGAAGCCATCTAGTTGTGGTATTTTTTTATGCAAATACTAGTCAACTGAGACTGGGATTCAGTAGACTGGAGTGTAGAAGCAGCTAGAAACTTTGTTTTCCAAACAGCTGAGGCTGCTGATATTTCTCAGCTGGGAGGAGACTCCAGAAAAAAGGACTATCAACTTGTATCTCTGCAAAGTGGTCAGAATGGATTTTAGTTCTGCACAAGGAGTGCTGAGGATGCTAAGCAAGGCTAAGGGTGTTCTGGTGGCTTAGTGGTAAGGAGCTGTGCTACCAACCCAAAGGTTGGCAGTTCAAATTCACTAGCTCTCCACAGGAGAAAGATGGGTATTCTTCTGTGCAATCTACAGCTTCTGAAGACCCACTGGAGGATCAGCTGTGAGTTGGTTCAACTTGACAGCATTGAGTTGTTTTGGGTTTTTAATATTTTTTTAAGCTAGGATAAGCTTCCTGTGAACACCTTGTTCCTATTACAGTGATGAATAGACACCTGAGAAGTGAGCTAGATTTACCTTGGGAGGCAGGTTTGAGTTCACATAACAAACATTATTTTTCAATAGCTTATTCATCTTGCTTCTCAGCTCAGACCCTGTCTGCTGTCCCCTTGCACTCACAACCTAATTCTTTTTCCCCCCTCCATACTCACCTTTCAGTTTGCTTTTCTCTTAAAAAATACATTAATTGTTACACAATTCACCCCCCCCCACACACACACATCCCACCCAGTCCACTTTGTTATGCACCTCTTATTCTGGACTGTTGTCATGCAAATAATGCCTAATCATATATTCCTTTTAAGCAGTTCTTTCCCTCATCTGTTCCAATGCAGTGTTCATTATTTATCCCTTCTTTTCTTTGTTTCCCCAACCCCCATAAACTACACAGTGCTGAAAAACAAGCAACTCATAAAATAATATACAAAACAGGTGACCCTGGAGGACATTAATGCTGAGTAAAACATCAGTCACAAAAGTACAAATATTGCATAATGCCACCGTTACCTCCTTATTCTTACCTTCTTTTTGTGCCCAAAAAGCCAGTGTGAGGGAGGTGATGGGAACTGTTGTAGGACTTTCAACAGCCACTGTCTGCGCAGGTATAATTGGATTGCCTTGAACAGCAGCAGAACAAGACCAAGCAGGGAGGCTACTTGGAAGATCCCAGAGATATTGCACAGGGATTCTATTAGGCGCATGATGGAGACACTGGTAGCCCAGCTGGATCACTCACTGTTTCACTGACTCTGTCTGCTTTTGACTAACCCTGTGTAACACTGGAGAGGATTGTCCCTCCTACCTGTAGGGAGGGGGAAGAGTGAGGGCAGAGTTCAGAGTTTAGCCTCTAGAATTGACTAATGGTGGAACATTCATTGGAAATAGTAGAAGAAATGCTTTATAGCCAACTGTGATAATTGCTTAGTACCAGCAGCCAGGAAATCAAAAGACAAATTGAGTTGGGAAAGACATCTCCAGAGTACTGAAGAGCAACGATGTCAATCTGGAGACTAAGGTGTGCCTGATCTGGGCTGTGGCCTTTGCAATTACATGCTGTGCATTGGAAATCTGGACAATGACTAGAGATGATAGAAGGAAAATTGATGCCTTTAAGCTATGGTGCTGGAGAAGAGTATTGAATATACCATAGACTGCTAAGAGAACAAACAGGTTCGTTCTGGAGAGAGTAAAACCAGTCAGTTCCTTGGAGACAAGGATGCTGAAGCTTGCAAAGTCTGATATACTTTGGGCATGTTGAAAGAGGGGACCAGTACTTGTAGAGGGATATTATACTTTGGAGGGAGGGACAGTGCAAGAGGGGAAGACCCTTGATGAGATGGATTGACTCAGTGACTGGGATAATGGGGGCAGGTGTGTCAGAGACAATAAGGTTGGCACAGGATAGAACAAGGTTCAGAGATGTTGTACATAGGGTTGCTATGATTCACAGATGACTTGACAACAATGTGATAATTGCCATTTTCACAAGAGTTGAGCATCTAACCCAAAGGTGGTGTTTCTATGGCAATATGAATCCTTGGGAAAGAGATGGACAATCTTATGAGATTTACAGCCTCTGAACTTGCTGGAAGGTCAATCATTAGTCATTTCCAACTAAAGACAATGAGTGAGTTTTTCCTCCTTTAGTTTCCTCAGCAAATACTTAATGACCATGCACTCTGAGTCAGCCAGCATGTTGTGTGCTGGGTCAAGGCTGCAAGCAAAAGCACCCAAAACATGAAGCACTACAGTGTCTTTCACTCACTCCCATCGAGTTGGCTCAGATTCACAGCTGATTCTCCAGCAAGTTTCCAAGGCTGTAATAAACACAGGAGGAGATGCCCTTCTTTCTTTTCCCTGGGGAGCAGCTGGTTATATTCACACCTCTACAGAAGCACGGCACAACCCTTTATGGACTACTCCAACAGAGCACTCTATTACACTGCCAGGCCTTCTTAAAAACATTATCTTGAGGGATTGGAAGATGGTGGCAGCAGAGAGTACAGTGTGAAGAGCCAGAGGGATAGCAAGCTGCATAAAGATGGGACACCAGAGAGTACTTCATGCTCCATAGAGACTGACCATCACAGCGTGACGTGAACAGTGGGAATTTGAATGAGAACTTTTGTTAACACATTATTTTAGAAGCTATAAAACCTTAATGCCCTGCCATGCTGCGGTCCCATCGTGGACCCGGCAAAAGCTGGAACCCACTAGCTGAGCTGCTTTGGGACTCACCTGAAAGGAAAAAGGAAATTGGCTGAATTCTCTTAAGCCCTGCTAAAACCTGGTGGATCTGTTGCACGGTGTGGACAATAGGAATTGAATCATAACTTTTGTTGAAACTTTTAGTATTGGAACTGTAAGAACATAGAGGCGGTGCGGACTCGCAAAAACTGGAAGCCACTAGATGAGCTTCTATGGGACCAATTTGAAAGGAGAAAACAGTGGGGAAATTGGCTTAATTCTCTTAAGCCTCACTGAGTCCCAGTGGGTCTGTTGTGTGACGTGGACAGTAGGAATTTGAATCAGAACTTCTGCTGGATTAGACTCAGAATGAGCACGTAGCCTCTGTCACATTCCGGGCCTCGTTTTGGTCTGCACTACAGATCGGCAAAAGCTGGAAACTGCAATCTGAGCTTCTGAGGGACCCATCTGAAAGGGGTAAACTTGGTAGGGAAAGTAGCTGAATTCTCTAAAGCCCCACTAAGGCCCATTGGGTCTGTTGCATGACGTGGTCAGGAGGAATTTGAATAAGAACTTTTGATGGATTACAGTTGGAACTGTACGAAAACAGCCTGGGTTGCACTCTGGTCCACATTTCAGTGTGCACTTCGGATCAGCAAAAACCAGAAGCTGCTGAACCCATTTGAAAGGGGAAAGCTTAGTGGGAAAATTGGCTGAATCCTCTTAAGTCCCACTAAGACCCAGTGGGTCTGTTGATTGACATGGACAATAGGAACTCTAAAAATAGCTTTTATTGATACAAATAGTTTTAGGAACCACAGGATCTTAAACCCATACTGATTTATGGAAATTTGACTGAGTCTTCACTGGTCCTGCTAGACCCAGGACACTGCTAGGGCAGGGGCCCCTGGGGGGCACTGGGTAGTGCCGCTGGGTTGGGGCCACTGAGTGAGAACTGCTGACTGGGAGATGGACAGCTGGAATTTGATCAGGGACCTCAATCGTGAGCACACCTGGGCAGCTAAGGTCTAAGTGAGGTCCCTCAAGTGGTTGACCCACCCTGGTGACTATTTCACCTTGCTGCCTGCCCCACCCCATTTGGCTCCACACCTGTGCCTATACAACCAATCAATCAAGCTGTCTTTAATCCAGAGCACCTGGATCTGACTTACCTACAAAAGACTGCTCTCACAGGCTCTGAACTGACCTTTTCCTTGAGTCAGAAATTCTGAGAAATTGTCTTCAGTTCAAGAATACATGAATGTCTCGAAGAAAACAAGCTACCCTACACACTACACAAACACAAAACAAGATGTTACCACCAAAGGGTGACACAGTAGCAATGGATTTCCTAAAACCAGAAAATCTGATGGAACTTTCTGACACAGAATTTAAAAGAACGATGATTGAATATTTTCAATGGATGAAAGACAAACTCAAAGAACTACAGGATGCTACAAGCAAAAACCAGGAGGAGCTAAAAAATAAAACACAATAATCCAGAACAATGCAGATAAAACAAATGGAGCACTAGAGGCACTGGAAAAACAAGAAACCAAGATCCAAAATATGAGGTCCAATGTTTCAGATGCTGTCAACATGATGGAGGGACACATAAATAGAA